CCAGAGAACTCTCTTTCACTTGATAAATGCAAGCATACGGCTAGCCAGCCATCTGTCTGGAATGCTTTAATTTGGATGCCTGCACTGCATAGAGGGTTGAAATTAATGGCCTAAATGGACCCTTGCAATTTCATGAGTCTATGGAACCCAAAAACATCTGGTGGCAGAAGTTCCTGAATTCTCATTTTTAAAAAAATTCTCCTTGGAAAAAGGGCAGATATAACTCCTGTAGTATTTTTCCCTTTTTTAAAACCTTAGTTCATCTTACCTGGAATGACAATGTGAACTATACACTCCTGATAAATACCTTCAAATACAGTTATTGAGTATTACCAACATCCTTTGCATGTTTACTCAAAAGTAAATCCCCACTATGTTCAGGGTGTGTTATTGCTTTATAAATATCTTTAGGATTGCAGACTCAGGCTGACACTCACCTAGTAATCTCATCAATAGGAACTGGACTCCAATAGCAAAAGACTTCTCATCATAGGACACCACTCTGTTTAGAATCAAAATAAAGTATATAAGAAAGCAAGATATGGGGATCAATGACTTGTTCCTGCTCTGGGAAATGCTAAGAAACTTGATGATGATAGTGAATGGATGTGGATGGCCATAGTGGATTAGTTACATAAAAAGAGGGTTAAAACTGAAAAAGGTCTATAAAGATGTAAAGCAGAAACTTTTTGGTGGTAGCACTCCATAAATTCTATACTTTGCATAATGAGACCACGTGAAACCTAATCTGTCTTACTTTTATATGGCGTTAAAAAAGTCTTCCTCCACTTGGGTGTTCTATTGATGTTAAACTTCCATTCCAGGATACTCAGCAACGGTTATACTGACTGAGGAATTCTGGAAGTTGGTCCAAACATCAGTAGAACACTCAGATTGGGAAAGGCTTATTAACACAAGCTTTTAGGATTCCTTTTATTTTACTCCGTGTTGCTATGCTACAGTTGATTATTACAGTGTTTATTACAGAAGAAATGTAATTCCACTAAAATAGAAATAGACAGCATGTGGCTTTCCAGGTGTTGTTGAACTCCAAATTCCTAGCCATGATGGATAATAGTCAGGAATAATTGCAATTACAGCATAATATCATCAACTATACATATAAAAGCCAATGATGCCTGCAAATTACAGATGTATTGCATGGGACCATCCACTATGGCCCTAGCCCCTCTTACCGTAATACCATCATGTAGAGAGGGTTGTGAGATAGGCAGGCAATCAATGCAGCAAATGAGATGATGAATATAACAGGCAGCAACAGATGGGCACAGCTAACAGGGCAAGATCCAGTCTTTGCTGAGGATTGTCCATTCTTGGTGGAGATACAGGAGCAATTTGTGTAGATCTAGTTGAAAGAGCACAGAAGGGAAATCAATCTTAGGACATCAGTTCACTTCAAGATGGGACCACTGCTTAATAGCAGAGCATATGTTTTGAAATCAGAAGTTCCCAGGTTCAATCCCTGGCCTTTCTAGTTAAACGGAGAGGTACCAAATGTTGAGAAAACCTCTGCCTTAAATGCCCAACTGGTCAGAATATACAACATTGAGATGAGCAAATAGTTTAATACAGTATAAATCAGGTCCTAGTGGTTCTTAATTTCTTCATGACCAAGGTAGATTCACTATTTGACTGCAGGAATTGTGGGAAAATGTTTGAGGGAAAAAGGACAGCATGGAATTCTGTTGTAGTACTACTCTAATATTACAGACATTGTATGCATCACATTTAAAATTATATATTGATATTGCATTTGTGGTCCAGTATCCTGAAAGTTTAGAGCAGGAATTAATAAATTAAATACAATCACACAAGTAGATAAATAAATTAAAAAGCACAGTGCTGATACTGCATCTTAAACATTTAACCTTGACCACAAAAAGCAATTCTAAATGTAAACTAGGGCTTCTAAAACTAACTTAGATTTTGATTTCTGCACCTCTTGAAGTACATGTGAAAATCCAATGGTAAAGAGCAGGTATTATAAGAAGGTTGTTTAGCACACCAACACACAATCTGTGGTCTCAGGCCTGTAACAATCAAATGTTATATACTGTAATTTTTAATGTGAGAGAAGGGAGAAATGATTAAATACATGGACAGTAAACTTATTTACAATATTTAATTTACTGATCTGATGCTAAATTTTAATTTAAACAACAAAATAATTTTTGTTCTGGCCTGACCCATTTTTTGAGGGGAGTGTCAAAAACTCCTCAAAATTTAAGTGTATCTTCTGGCCTGAAAACAATTGTGCACTCCTGTTTCAGAGTGACATTATGAAGTGTGATGATATATTAAAGATATGGATTCTTCTTTAAAAAGTTGGACAGGGCTCATCTTGAACCTGGGAGACAATAAAAACCTAGTTTTGTCTTCTTAAGCCACTTTATATGCTATTGGATCACTGATATTTATTCTGAATGGCAGTATTTCTTCAAATTCTTTTTCCTAAGAAGTATCTTTTTTTAATGAAAATACTCAGAATTAAAACTGGGATTCTCTGCATGGAAAGCACATGTTCTGAGACTTAGCAATGAATCATGCTCTAAACACTATCAGCAAACAAGAAAGCACCTGAAGCTCATGTAGAATGTATGGCATATTGGCTTCCTTACCTACAAGTGATTTGGCCATACTCCCATCCTATCTACACATTAGATACTATATGTTACATAGATTTGAACCCCATAAGCAACCCAGTAGAGCCCCTATGCATCCTTAAGCTCTTACAATTCCAGAAGTTGAAGAATTAGAGAAGAAACCAGTACAGCCAGCATGACAGGGAGAGAGGTACTCTACACCATCATCTCCACAGACTGGATGGAAGAGATCCTTTGAGCAGGAGCACTGATGGTTACATGGATCCTGTTCTGGGGAACTTGATGTACTGCCAGAAAAAGGAGACAAAATAATATGAAATCAGAATGAGTGAAATATGTTTTCTTGAGTGCGCTGGTGATTCCCAGCCTGTTATTTTTGGGTTCTTGCCATCTTGAACCTTGGCCTATTGCCTTCTGAAGGTATCGCTGATGTTTTTCAGTTAAATCATTTACAATTATTACACATGCAAACATGCAAACACATGCAGATAATTTGGGTAGAAATGCATTTGATGCCTGAAATAATCTATCTGATATAAGCCTTTCAGTAGAAATTAGGTAGAAAACCAAGAAAAAAGATTCCAAAATGAGACTGTAATTAAAATGGGAAAGCTTCTAAGGCCAAAGTACATTCTCCGGGCAGGATTGCATTGTGTTAAATATTGAAAGCTGCTATCTAAATCAATACTATGTATTTGGACTTAAAACACAGGTGCATGGTCTAAGGCTCAGAGTTTTATGATGCAGCCCTCCAAAAACCTTGGGCACAATTTCCAAGCTGCACAAAATTAGACAGTTAAAATTGTTAATGTGATGAAGAGGGATATTGTTAAATACATGGAGAAATATAAATCAGATCAAATCAAATTGTTTTGTTCTTGCTTTGACCACTTTCTTATCTTGTCTCAAGGTACTTTTTGATTTGCACCCCTCATCCCCACAAAATTATGAACCCCTGACCTATGACAATTTTACACCATGAGCCAATGAAATTAATTACATAAGGTCTCTCAATGACTAAGACTGCAGCCACTTTCATTATAAGCACAGATCATGTGTTCTATCAGTGAATTTTCATCTTTCTAAAATATCATGGGAAATGCTTCTTGAATATTGGGATTTCCTTGAAACTCTTCTGGGAAGGAGCTTATAATCTTTTGAATCAATAAGTCTTCCATCATTTTACAGCTTGAGCATAGGCTCAAGTTCTTGCATGGAAGAGTTAGTGAAAATTGATATTGCTTTCAAGCCTCCAAATAGTTTAAAAGTAATAGTTTGGAGCTTTTTTGCAGTACACAATATAAGAATAGCTCTACTAAATCAGGCCAAAAATTCATCTGAACTGATATCCTGTGTACCACAAGGATTACTGGAATATTCGCAGAGTTGGACAGTAGCTCTCTTGAATGGTTATCCCAAAGCAGTTTGCATTAATTGGCATCACGTCCTGGAATTGGGAAGACCAACTTAGCCATCATAACTAACAGTTGCAGCTACCTTTTCCCTTTACTTTTCTTTTAAAACCATCTAATCGCCACCTAATTCCATAACTTACTTATGCGTAGTCTGAATATGCACTCTATGGAGAAAAGTTCATCCCAAACAACATGCAGTGCCAGTGGTAAAGGCCCATAATATGTAAAAAGGAGATGTGTAAAGCATCCTCAGAAAACAGAGGAGATATTTTTGGTGATATCCTTGCACAAAAAGGTTCAGCAACATGTAGACTTCACAAGTCAGCACTGTGAACTAGCAAAAACAACAAAACCACCACAACAAAACATGGGCTAAAGAACCCATTTTGGGTTTCATCACCATAATCAATCACCATATTCATTAGATAAGGAGGACAATTAAATAAAGGTCTGAAGAAAGCCAGGACAATACAAGATAAAGGGAAATCTCTGGGCCATGATTTTAGAGCTTATGGCACTAAGTTCTAGTTTCCAGAGTATTGCAGGAAGAGTACAGCATATTACCTGGATAGATGAATTCCAGCCACGTTCTGTGAGGAGCAGCCCATAAAAAAGAGAGGAAGATAGCAAAGGGTGGAGAAAAGTAACACCACAACGGTGAAACGTGGGATGGTTTTGAGTGAGAAACCAAAACGCTTCATGAGGAACCCTCCAAAGAGCATCCCTAGTGCAGCTGCAGGCAAATTCACAGACCCTGTAAAGGAAAGGGTGGGGTTGAGGAGAGTTATAAATCCAACAATTGGAGATAGCGCTACATAACTGAAGACAAAATCTCTTGACGGCAACAGGACGGAATCAGTCTTATAATTGACACAGAAGGGACTGCCATGTTCTTTTTGCATGGAAAAACCATCCTTTATTGTTATTGCATAGGACTGAATAATTAATTTAGGTTCCTAGCTACTGCACTTTGAAATTCCTATTGGAGTTTTTTTTCCTGCATACAAATCTGAAGGAATCCTGCATCTTGGACACTAAGAGTTCAATTTCTAGAGGAAAGGCAGCTGTAACACAGGGGTGGCCAACTCATTTGCAGACAATGCTGTGCTTCTGTTTACCCTTCCAGAGTTACAGGTAGAGTTGCTCTTGTTATCATGACATTACTAGAAGGTGATGCAGCAAAAATGTCAGCCAGTCATTCCTTTGGGTTTTGTAGGAGTTTTGATGGGCTAAATTGTTGGTTTGCCTTTTAACTCTCCTCAAAGGAGGAGAAAATACATGTTGTGATTTTTTTTTAAGAAGTGAAATGGGTGCCTTAAGGTTTTGCAAATTAAAGCATCCATGTAGCATCCTGAACCACACACCCCTCACAAAACCCAAAGGAAGAGATAAATATTGATGTTCTTCACTCCAAAAATGTCTTGGGAAAGTACAAAATGGTTGCTGGAAGCTGTAGGCAACCTATGCATGTAAGCCAGGGGAAAACTGACATTGTCTCCTTCCAACATAATGTTCTCAGTGACAGGGAAAACAGTGAACATGCTCCTGTCATCAAAAGGGTCCTAGTCCATTGTTGCTACAAGGCAAAAGAGAAGCTGTACTGGAGCCGATTATTTTTTTCACAATAACAATGGCAACGTAGAGAGCCCTAGGCTCTGACCTCCTATATGGTATCTATTTGCTGTACCCAAGGACATTTAATTTATCATAGGGATATTGAGTTATTCCATCCATTTCAAGCAAAGTGCTGCTTAACCATTTAAGCTAGCAATACAGGTCGCAAAGGTAGAGTTGCAAAGCCACTGTATCTTAAACAAATAACAAACTTAAGCATAATGAGAAAAAGGGAAGGACTCTGGATAGATTCATAACTAGGATGGGTAGAAGTGCTTGACGGACACCTGCATGACATCTGTCAACCACTTACTGCAGATGCACTCATGGCAGCTTTCTCGGTGAGAGAATTTTTGACTTAGCTATAAAGCAGCATGGTTTCAACCCCACATATTTTAAAAGATTTGTCAGATCAAGTTCTGCCTCAACTTCTAACTAGTTTTCATTGCCCTCAATTTAGTGTTGTTAAGGGACATCTGTTCATTGATGGTATGCTGCTGGCAGCCCATGGAAGACTATTTGCTGATTTTTCTATGCCTTCCAATTTCTCAGATCTGATCTTCAATCTCAATAGTGTGATTGCTGTCTGGTGCATTACCAGATGAACTGAATATGGAGAACATAGCCAAGCACTGTTCTGAGAATGCTGTTCTGAGAAAGCTTCAGCCACTAGCTCAAATTAGATGGGCTGCTCTAGTTTACTCACCAATGAGGAAATTAGCATAGGATGAGGTAGCACCAAATTGTTTTTCCAGGTACTTGTTGAGGAAGGTAGAGAGTCCAGCAAGAATAGAGGAGAAGCTGCACTGTGTCAAGACCAACAAAATGAAGAGTGGATTGAGAAGCAGTCTTAGGAAGCCTTGTGGGAACTCTGAAAATAAAAATAGAAGAGTGTGAAGACTGGAAAGGAAAGGAAAGGAAAGGAAAGGAAAGGAAAGGAAAGGAAAGGAAAGGAAAGGAAAGGAAAGGAAAGGAAAGGGGCTTCAGGACATGAGTATACCCAGAGAATTATTGTAGCATCTTATTAAGGATGTCAGTTGCAACAAGAAGGCCAATTCTTAAGGTAGGTTATTCTTAAAGATGCTGATGCTTTCGTAGACTAGTCTTCCTCAATCTGATATTCTCCAGTTGTATTTAACTAGATGAAAATGTAGGGTTACAGTTCAACATATCTGGAAACCACCAGATTGGGGAAGACCAGACCAGATTTAGGCTTTAATTGCTTTCTGCTAAATGCTCATGGAAAAATCAAAAGACAAGACTCTTTAAAATCTCTCTCCCCCTCTGTCTCCCTCCCCCCCACCTCACAATAGTTCAAAAGAAGTTTATAAGACAAGTAACATAGATAATATTTACTCATGCTTCCACCATCTTATGCTCAGAGCTATCTTTGAATTGGAGTCTCAGAGACTAAGATTGTCAAATGGGCAAAGCACATATTTCATTCAGAGCTATATTCCCCTACCTCGTGGACCTTCCCCTATGCTTATCAAGCAAAAGTCAACAAGCAAAACCACAATCAACAAGATATAAAATTACTTTTGGATGGGAAGAAGGAACCAGGTTGTAGAGTAATCTATAAGATTAGGTCTGTACACCTCAATAGAAACTTCAAGCTCAGATGCCATATGGAAAGTTTTGAGATTAATCTTATATGCGTGAATGTAATGAGCTACATTCACACAGCTACTTTGCCATGTTCCCATCCCATCTCTTTCCAGAGCCATCAAGATATAAGCTGTGCAAAATCTTGCTGACACCTGCACAAGCTTGCTGTGCTGGCCCTTAATTATGCTCCCATAACAGGTACAGGCTGCACTGATATCTATTTATTTCTAATGCAAACATTCTAAGGGCTATGACTGGTGGTTCCTCCAGCTGAAATTCCAGCCCTGCTCAACATAATTCACCATGTGAAAAGCTTCTTCCAATTGGTTGCACAGTTGCTCTAGTTACCTGATTACGTGCACTGATTTTTTTTCTTTTCTGTCAACTAACTGAACTTGTTTTTTTCTTCAACCATGAAAATATAGGTGAACTCAACAACTGTTCAACCTACTGACCACTAAGTGGCAATGACAAATTAGAGTTGTTTGTATCTCTTGGTCATCATGTAGTGGTCATCTGTGTTTGTGCAGTTGCTGGATAAGTGCTGTTGAAAAGCTGGAGTTTAGCTTTTGGGACCATTGTGACAGCTGTAAATTACCTTAAGGGCCTAACGTGAGGAGAGGAAGTGAGGAGGCAGGACTTCCCTGGGAGCAGCAGCCACTGGGAAAGGAATTCTCAAGCACACAGTCCACAAAAGTATAAGAGATACTCCTTTTAATTACACTCCCAATTACGTGGATTAAGCCACCAATGGCTAATAAATTTGGGACCTTTTCACTCTCTAAGTCCACCTCTCCACCAACTCATTTAAAAAATGAAAAAAAAGTTGCCATCAAAACTAAGATTCTGGTCTCTCACATAGCCAAAAGAGTTACAGGTAGGAGAACAGGTCAGGGACTGGATGGGAGTAGTCCCACAGGAAAGTGGCAGAACCAATTAGAGCCACAAATTTGTTGACAAGGAGCCTGTCATTTCAAGCCACCTCTCCCATGAATATCAATGCATCCTATATTACCTGCATGCAGGGTCTGGAGGTGGGATAACAGAACACACAACTTCCAGAGTAGAGTACCTTAACGTCGTCCTTGGATTGATTCAATTGCAGATGCACAACATGAGAGGGATGTTGGCATGCAGGCTTGTCCTTGAAACAATTAAGTGGGCTAGTCTTGCACTCAGGCAAGGACACAGTGTGGATTTGCTAATTGTCACATTGTTGGATGAAGAGGGAAACCTCTTGAACATCTGAGTTACCATGGAAATGAGGTTTCTATTAAAAAAGACAACAACCCTATTTGGAGATATATGCCAGATAGCTGAGTTAAGTAACTAGCCATCATTTGGAACTAGTAAACAAATTTCTGAGATTACTATATGCTTAAATGATTATTAGAACCATTTTTTTCATCATATTTCAGTTTGGAATATCTATTGGCTCCTAGAGTAGAATTTGAGAATTCCTATAGCAGCCAGGCCAGCTGCTGTAATGAGACCTAAAAACATTAAAAGGTATGTCCATTAGGTGGCTAACTCAAATTATAACAGAATGGGTAAGAAATAAATAGCCATTTTTAATTAGAATAACAACTTTATTGTCATTCCACTATACACTAAGTGCATAATAAAATGAAATTCTGTTGCATTTGGCTCACAATTACAATCAGACACTAGAAGTACCATCAAGATACCATAATTACTATAAAATATACATTCTATACACATTCATTCAAGAATCTGATGGCCTGGGGGACAAAGCTATTTCCCAATCTGGCTGTTCTACATCAGATACCGCAGAACCTCTTCCCAGAGAGTAACAAAGAAAACAGGCCATGATGAGGATGGGAGGCGTCACTGACAATCTTTCGAGCTCTAGACAAACAGCGCGCATATGCTAGATCTTGGATGAGAGGCAGAGGGATCCCAATTAGCTTCTCTGCTGCCCTTACTACCCTTTGCACCGACTTTCTGTCTGAGGCACTACAGCCTCCAAACCAGATGGAAATACAGTTGGTAAGTACACTCTTTATAGTGCCTCTATAGAAAGTAAGGAGATTAGAGGATGGGAGATGTACTTTCCTCATCCAGCGCAAAAAATGTAAACGTTGCTGTGCTCGTTTACCAAAAATGCAGTGTTAAGGGACCAGGTCAGACTATTTGTTAACAGCACCCCTAGGAATCTAATGCTACTGACTGACTCCACAGCTATGTTATTAATAAACAGTGGAGTGTGGCTACACCAATTCTTCCTGAAATCTATAATAATCTCCTTTGTTTTTTCCACATTTAGGACCA